GCGGGGGCTGGGATCAGCCTGAGGCAGGCTCACTGGTCCGGTCCTCGCCTGAGAAACCCGGGACGCTCCGGGGCAGACTCGGGCCCAGACTGGCCTGTGTTCTGGAGAGACGGGTGTGGGTCAGTCTCTATCCTCACTCAGCCCAGGAAGACCGAGGCCCTGGGGGCCCCCCAGGCTCCGTGTGGCCGAGGAGAGCAGGATTCAGCTAGAAAATCACGACCCGGGGCAGAAAATTAATTGTCGGCTCACGCAGCCCTGGAGGCTGGGCATCTCTCAGCGTTGGCACAGACGATAGTGTGCCTACCTTTCCTCCCCATGTCTGCCCGGCGGACTCTTCCTCCCTCACAGCCCAGCGGGGCTGGCGCCTCCTCCGCGAAGGCTTTTCAATCCTCTGAGCAGGTGGCTCTCCTATGGCCTGGCTTTCCCCTGTAGGTTCCCTCCTCCAGCATCTATTCCCCGGGGTTTCCCTTCTTCCCTTCATGCGTCTGGCTCCTGGGCTCTGCCCAGCCCGGGCGTGGCAGGGGCAGAGAGAGTGAGCGGGGCAGACACAGCCTCGCTCCATGCCAGCCTGCCCAGCGGGGAAGGCAATAAACAAGCTGACCATGAATGCCCGCTGTCTCTCACCATGCCCACTGCAGGCTCTCCCTCCCCTGCTCCCTCCTGCTGGCGTTCCTCCACGCAGCCAGACTTGGGGCCAGCTGCCAGGGTGACTACTTAGCTCCTTCTCGTCACACAGAGTGACGGGTCAGGGCTGGAAGCAGGAGGTGCCTGCTGCTGCTGCTGCTGGAACAGGGGGTGCAGCGGGCAGTGCCGGGAGCATCTGGACCCCCCAGGCCCACCGCTCTGCGGAGCTCAGCTCTGCAGCCAGGAGCCGCCTCCTCGACACCTGCACGTGTCTGCCTCCTTTTCCCACAACAGAGCTGAGGGCCCCGTCCTCAAACCCTCTCCTGCCGGGTCTCCTCCAGCGCTGGGTTCCAATCTAGGTGCTCAGGCCGATCAGGGTGCTCTTTCCCTCCCTCTAGCCACCCCTGAGGGCCCCACACGTACCCTGAGTCTGCCTGCCTTCCTCCACCCTGCCACCAACACCCTGGTGGGGAGCCAGCGTCTGTCACCTCGAAGACTCAGCAGTGTCCGACCTGGCCTCCCCAAGTCCACTGTGGCCCCTCCTCTGCCACTTTGCACACAGCAGCCGTCCTGTCACTCCCCTGGCCCACAAAGCCTTCTGGGAAGTGGCCACTGCGGCATGCCTCTTCCCTCAGACCGTTCTCCTGCCCAGCCCTGGGCCGTCATTGGGATCCTCCTACCCTGCTCACTCCTGCTTGTTCTCCTCACACCTCCTGGCCAGGTCACTGCTCAGATGTCACCCCCTCAGATGGCCCTTCCCCCGCCCTCTGGATGGCATCAGTGCCCTGTCCTGCTCTGGCCCATGGCCCTGCTTTAATTCCTCTGAAGGTGTGTGTGCTGCCCACAGCTGGAATGTGAGTAACACGAGAGTAAGGACACTCTCGCCCCGGCCCCGAGCGCAGGATCGGGCACAGAATCGGTACCCGCACTGGCGGATGGGAGGAGTCAAAGAGCCAGGAGGGGCTGGACGCCCTTTGCTGCAATGCGGGCACAGCCAAGTGCCGGCACTTTTTGACCCGGAAATTTCACCCTGGAGGCCACGAGACAGATGTGCCCAGAGTACGCCTGAGAAGGTCATCTCACTGTCGTTTGCTGCCCATCGGTGGGGCAATGGCTCGGGTCGGGTCTGGCCCCACCAAAGGGGGCAGCGTGGTGTGGCCACGGAGCGGGAGGAGGTGGGTCTGTCCGCGTTGCCGTGTCACCAAGGAAGACATCAGAGCCCGTGCTCAGGACAGGTTTATTGTACGTGAATTCCTGGAGCCGGGAGCTCTGGTTGCACGCACGTTTTGTCTCATTCCCAGGAAAGAGGGAAATGGATTGGGAAGCTGGGAGCTGCCATGCCAATCCCACTCTGACCTTGACCTGTGAGAAGAGCGAGGCCCCAGGAGGGAAGTGCCTGTCTCCGGATCACACACACCGGTGCCCGGAGGCACAGCCAGAACTGGGACCCAGGTCCCCCTTCCTGAGCCTCACCATGAGGCCCTCGAGGCAAGTTCTGGCTTTCAGATCCTCAGCTTCCTCATCTGTAAAATGGGCCCATATTTCCCCTCCCCCACCCCCACCTTCCCTACCTCTTTTGTAGGTGTCAGGACGGGTAAAAGTTTAAGTTCGGATTGTATTACCCTCCCTGGGTGCTTAAGACACACCTGCCCAGTCCTGCCTTGACTTACAGCTCTGATGCACCTTATCAAGTCCGCACAGCCGTCCAATGAGGAAGGGCTGCATTGCCCCAATCCACCAATGAGACTCCGGGCTGAGGTAGCTACCTCTGTGTCCTGTAGGTGTAAGCGGGGAGCCTGGATAGGAGCCCAGGTGGTCCATGTCAGCCCCACTGCACCCTGAATAGAAAGAGGCCATCCCCAAACCCCAGGGGCCCTGGAGAGCTGGACCAAACCCCAACTCCTAGGCCTCCTCTCCCCACCACAGCCTGCCCCCCACTCCCCACACCCACTGAGTAATAGACCGGGGAGCCTGGTGCCTGCAGCTGCCTGGGCAGGGCCCGGCCTCCCTGTAATTAAGCAGCGGGAAGTTGGGAGCAGGGATCTTTGTCATCCAAAGGGTGCGGAGGGGTGAGGCACGACAGAGGAGCGTCCCCGTGGCTGGGCCAACCACATCAGCAGCCACTGGCTGCGCTGGGAGCAGCTGGGCAGCAGGGGGTGGCTGGGGCCAGCCCAGGTGGGTGTTCCCCTCCCTGCCACCCCTGGCCTGTGTCCTCCTGGGCCTCTTGGCTTGTCTCCTTGTCCCCCATCTCTCTCCTCTGCCTCAGCATCAGATCCTTGTCAACAAAAAGGTAGTTGCCGAGGCTCGGTTTCTAACGGTCCAGCAATGCAGAAAGGGTTCCTCCCACTTTAAGGGCGGAGCAGTAAGAAGAGGGGAGGGAGCCTCTTGCGGGAATACTCAGGCATCATTGGGAAGGAGGCCGTTCCCTGCAACAGATGCCTCCTGCTGCTGCATGTCGCCCCCTGGACCCAGCCCACACACCCAGGCTGTCATTCGGGTCCTTCCTGCTCCAGCCCCAACCGGCTCATCGCCCCTGACGCTCTCCCACTCGCTCGTCATTCCCGATGGCATGCTACCTTCCTGTCTCCCGGCTTTCCCTCATGCCATTCCTTCTGCTCAGCCATCCGAATTCTGCTCATCTCTCTCTGCTCAGTTCACATGCCTCCTCACCCAGGCAGCCTTCCCTGACTGAGCGATAATGACGTACTGTTTCTCCCCAAGCCTGGACCCTCTTCTGTGTTTTGCATCTAATGTATCTTTGTCTCCCCCCAGCCCCCAGCCCATCCCCAAGCACCAAGGCCTCTCTGGAGTCCAGGCCGAGGACAAGTCACTCGCCTCTCTGAGCTGCACGGTCCTCCTCTATAGATATGATAGGCGAGCCGGAGCGCCTGCCGGAGGAGGCAGCGAGGAGTGCGTGAGACAAGGTGGGTACACACTCAGAACAGCACCAGAGCTGGGTCCTATTTGAACCCCCAAACCCCAAGGCCCTGGAGAGCTGGACCACACCCCAACTCCTAGACCCCTCTCCCCAGAGTCACAGTAGCCAGAGAGGCCTTTTTTTAAAATTTATTTTTATTTTTTTTAAATATATTTTATTGATTTTTTTTACAGAGTGGAAGAGAGACAGACAGAGAGTTAGAAACATCGATGAGAATCATCGATCAGCTGCCTCTTGCACACCCCCTACTGGGGATGTGCCTGCAACCAAGGTACATGTCCTTGACTGGAATCAAACCTGGGACCTTTCGGTCTACAGGCTGACGCTCTATCCACTGAGCCAAACCGGTTTCGACCAGAGAGGCCTTTTTAAAGAACTCGGAACATGCCACTCCCATGGACCACCCTGAGGGTCAGGCAGGGCCACTGCCCCCCCTAACCCCCCCACTCCCCCCCCCCCCCCCCGTCTCTTCTCTCTGCACCGTCTCCTCCTCACCCACTGCTCCGGCCGCCAGGAGTTTATCCGGGGCACTAACCACCCCATGGACCCTCTCAACGCGAGGCTTTCGACCAGGCCATTCCCTCCATCTGGTACACCTTTCCCATTGCTCCCTCCTTCTTCGTCTGGCTAACTGCTGCTCATCCATTTACCCCAGCTTAGGTGCCCACTCCTCCAGGAAGCCTTCCCGGACCACCTCCCCCAGCCAGTGCTCCGGCAGCACTTACCCCACACCCTGCATGGAGATGGCCTGTTTACCTGAGAGCCCTGTGAGGCGAGACTGGCTCCCCGAGGCGAACCCGGCATCTAGCATGGTGTCTGGCACGGAGTAGATGCTCAAAAAAAAAAAAAAAATTAGTGACTAACTGAATGGATGGATGAGTCAATTTCTGCATCCCCCACGCTGCAGGAAATGTCTGCGGAACAGATTTGAGTGGGCGGTTCCAGCAGGGCCTGGGAGAAGCCCCTGGGATTTGGGTGCTGGGTGGTGCACAGAGCCGACCCCCGTCCCCTCCCGCAACGGGCCAGCCCTCCCCCCTTCCCACCGGCCCCCGGGGCCCCAGCGCCAGCGTCCAGATGCTAAGCCCCGGCTCAGACTCACCTCTTAGCTTCTCCATCTGCACAGCTGGGCCGGATCCCCGCAGCCAGCGTCGCGGGCAGCCGGGCCAGGCGTCCCCGGCGTCTTCCTATTTTAGACATCTCGCTGCCTCGGTCCCTTCTAATGTTTCCAGCCAGGCTGCGGGGGGAGGAAAAAGAGGTTACTGCTACTTTAAATGTACTGTATGAAGGAGAGGGCTGGAAAGGGGCCTGCTTGCAGGAGTACCCAGTCATCTAGTTGGAAAAGCCGCCAGATGGAATACAAAAGGAGAAACCCAGACGCTCATGGAGACAGCCTCGGTTCATAAATCAGGTGGGGCCGGGGGCTGGGGGCCCGCACGCCATGGAGCCCGACTCCCTCCTGGACCAAGACGACTCCTACGGTAAGCCTGGCGCCGGCAAAGTGGCTGAGCAGGGATCCGGCCGCTGCTCAGGCGGACTTTTCCCTGCTCACGGCAGGAATCGAGTTCGGCAGGGAGGTGGGCAGGCGGCTGGGCACTGTCTGGCCTTGGGAGCCCGGGGGAGGGGGCACCGGGCTGCAGGGTCCCGAGGGAGGCCTTGGACAGCGCCCTCCTGCCCCGTGTTCTGGGCATTGGTGGTGGGGGGGGGTGGAGAAGGCGGAAGGGTGGGAGGGAGATTCTGCTGCTTCTGTTTTGCTCTTGGCCAAGAGAAAAAAAGGAAGGAAGTTTGCAGCCCCCTGCCCGCCGCTGGCCTCACTCGCTGTCCGCAGGCCTGCGGGGAGCCGTGGGGAATTTAATTAGTGAGATCCTGCAGATAAATATAGCAGGTCCAGCAACAGGAATGCTCCTGTAATTAAAGCCAGGCTGGCAGCACTCCCCGCTTTGCGGGGGCCCCAGGAGCTGCCCCGGGAAACCTGGGCTGCTGGCTGGGGGAAAGTAAGTTGCTTGGGACGGAGCAGAGCCCTTGCTGAGCGCCCGGGGCAGGGACTGGGAGGCCGGGAATGGGGTGGCCGGGGCAGTTGCTGCAGGCTCGGGGCTCCAGGAGTGCAGTAACTGAGACCCTGATTGCTCAGCCACCCGGCTGCTGGCTCGGGGCTAGGATGCAGGGCACACTCTGCATACCTCTGGGCAGTGCCCAGGAGGGAAACAGGAGGCAGGAGAGTGGCCGGGGGACTGCGGCAGGGTGTGTGGGGGCAGCCAGTTTGGGGGCTCAGCAGGGAGAAGGCCCTGTGGACCTCGGAGGAGAGGTCCAGTGGAGAGGTGGCCTCACCCCAGCTTGGGCTAGGCGTCGGGAACCCAGGTCCCCCCAGGGCCCGCAGTGCCTGCTAAGTAAGCTGAGTTCTCTCCCCTTTCCTCTTCGGCAGCCAGGCCTGGCCTCTGGGCACAGATTCAAGGCCAGATTTCCTTCCTCCTGCAGGAGCGCAGGCAGTTCTTTCCAGGGAGAGGGGCCCTCTGCCACGTTGGGAGCTGCAGCCCTCAGGGGAGCTTGGCGAGGCCCAGCCCGCATCCCTGGCAACTCTGGGCAGGCGGGTGGCCATTGGACACCGCGGAGGGACCACGCGGGCCCATCTCCTCTCCCCACATGCCAGGCTGTGTGCCGGGGTCAGGGGGGCGGGAATGAAGAGCTCCAGGCTAAGACACAGTCTGTGCTCAGTGAATGGAGGGAGGAAAGAGAGAGGGGGAGGGAGGAGGAGAGAAGGGAGAGAAGAGAAAGGCCCTGGAAGAGGTCCCAGCCTCCAAGGGGAGACAGACGAATGATCCGAGGCTGGACTGAGAGTGCCAAGCTCCCAGGAGACAGTCTGGGTGTGATGGGCCGGCCTGCCTCCAGAGGTGGCACACTGGGGTGCCCAGATGCTGCCCCATGGAGGGCACAGTGCCTGGTCTGGGGGAACCAACCCATGGCTGAGCAGGCTGCAAGTCCCTCGGCCTCCATCTCCCCGCCCGGAACCCAGCGACGTCTCGGGAACCCACAGCCCTGCTCACTGTCCCGGGTTGGCTTGTGGCAGCCTCTGGGCAGGGCAAGGCCGAGGCCCTGGAGGCGGCGCTGCCTGGTCCTCAGTGAAGGGCCCGGGCACAGAGCACCCCTGTGGTCACCTACTATGGGAGCCTGTTGCTGACCTTCTAGAAGCCGATCAGGCAGGGAGGTGCCGGGGGCCGGGAAGAAGAGGCACAGAGACCGAGGGGACCTCAGGCTTTGTCAGGCCAGCGTGGAGGAGCCTAGATCCTCCTGGGGAGTGGTTTCAGGTCTAGCCAACGGGATCTGGCTTCGGGGCAGTCTTGGGCCAGGGCAGGAGTCACTTGTGTTCCAGGTCCTGGTTCTACATCTCATTCATTTAGTAGCCGCTGTTCTCAGGTCCTGGGGTTGGAGAGATAAGTCAGACCATGTCCCTCCCTGCCTTTGTGACATTCCCAGGCTACTATGGGAGACAGGTGAGCCCTCTGACGGGGAAGGCCCAGGCCCTGTGGAACCCTGAACCCCACATGTGCAGTCCAGGAGGCTTCCTGGAGGAGGCGACTCCTCCACTAAAGAAGTAGGCGATTCTCCTTCGTGAGACACTTTCTTCCCCTGGCTTCTGGGACAGGCCATTCTCCTGACTTTCTCCCATGGGTTTCTCCCAGCATCTTTTCCTGGTTTCTTTTCTCAAATGCCTCCCCACTCTTTCTCCCTTTATCCCCATGGTCCCTTCACCAAGGTCTGCTGCTTCTGCCGCCCCACACCATCTGACCCTTCCTCCCTCGCTGGTTCGCTCTCAGGGTATCCGTCATACTGATCTAACTTTCCGTACGCTTATCAGACTAGTTCCTACCCCAGGGCCTTTGCACATTCTGTTTCCTTTGCCTGGAGCACTCTTCTCGTTATTCACTAGTCCAACTCTGCCTCCACCTCCTCCCAAACTCAACCGAAAAGTCTTTTCAGAGAAACCTTCCCTAGATCATGTTCCTCCGATCCATCCATTACAACCCACTCTCTTTCTCTCTTCTCCTTTGTAAGACATGCTCCTATTTGCACTGCATATTATTGTATATGTGCGTGTTCCACTGCTGTATTTCTCCCTCCCCCTCTTCCCCAATCCCTAAGATCTCTGACAGCTGTTACCCCCAGAGCATAGCTGTCTGTCTGGCATGTAGCAAGCATCCAACCAATACTTGCTGAAGGAGTGAGTGGATGGATGCAGTTGGCCCAGGCAGAGGTGAGACCAGGCCTTCCAGGCGGAGGGAACAGCAGGTGCAAAGGCACGGAGGCTGGAGAACTTGGGGAGTTCTCCGAAATGTCCCGCGAGGGAGATGCTTGTGGTCAGGGGTCGATGAGCTGAGCTCCTCAATGGGGACAGGGCTGTGGAGAGGCAGAGCTGGGCGTGGGGCTCTGGGCACCCTTCCCCGATTCGAACCGAGCAAGACTTTCTTGAATCTGGTGGATACCCTGCACTCGAGTCCCACTCCCCAGGTGCTCAGGGGCTGAAAGAAGTGGGACCCGTGGTCGGCAAACTGCGGCTCGCAAGCCTCATGCGGCTCTTTGGCCCCTTAAGTGTGGCTCTTCCACATAATACCACAGCCTGGGCGAGTCTATTTTGAAGAAGTGGCATTAGAAGAAGTTTAAGTTTAAAAATTTTGGCTCTCCAAAGAAATTTTAATTGTTGTACTGTTGATATTTGGCTCTGTTGACTAATGAGTTTGCCGACCACTGCCTCAGACCTCTTGTAAGGAGTTCTTTGCTGAGGAAGGGACAAGAGGCAGGCCTGACAGTGGGCCAGACCAGGGAGCAATCTTCCCTCAGCAGACCGTTCTCTCTTCGGGTCCTCACAGGGTCCTGCCATCCCCCCTTCCCAGAGGCTACCTCCCACCTGTGCCATGCCAGCAGGGCACGTGTTTACCACCTGGCTGCCGGCCTGACTCCCACGTGAGGCCATGCACCCCTGAAGGAGGGGCTGTGTCTTATTGGCCACAGGATGGATCTCCAGGCTCCTGCAGGGCGCGGGCCTGAGAAGGTGCTCGTACACATTTGCTGGGCCAATGAGCGCGTGAAGGGATGCGTGAGTGAGGAAATGAGAGGACGGTACCCATCCTGGCGTTGGCTTGCTGCATGCCCCAGGCATCCTCCCCTCTCTGGGTCCCTTTCCTTCGCTGTCAGCTGAGGGTGCTGTACTGCCTGACACCCGAAGGTTCCAGCTCTGATCACCTGGGAGTCTACATCTGACCCAGCACTCGGCATCCTCTCCCCTCCCTGTGGCCTGAGCCTCATCCCAGCTCTCTTTGCCATCAGCTGGCCTGGACCAAGTCCCTTCACCTCTCACCCTCAGTTTTTTGTTTTTTTAAAAATATATTTTATTGATTTTTTTTACAGAGAGGAAGGGAGAGGGATAGAGAGTTACAAACATTGATGAGAGAGAAACATCGATTAGCTGCCTCCTGCACACCCCCACTGGGGATGTGCCCACAACTAAGGTACATGCCCTTGACCTGAATCGAACCTGGGAACTTTCAATCCGCAGGCCAACGCTCTATCCACTGAGCCGAACTGGTCTCGGCTCAACCTCCGTTTTTTTTGTCTGACAAATGGGCAGATCCAGGCCTGACCTGCCTGCTTTCTTGGTTGTCTTGGGCTTCAGCGCAGTGGCAGAGGTTAAACCAGTTTCGGTTGGACACCTGTTGGGGGGGGCCTGTGGCTCATAGCGGGGAGAGTTGGGCTCAGAGCGATGCTGGGTCAGATGCGCTGGAGGAGGTAGGTTGTTTTGGAAATCCTGGGGGTAGAAGGGGCAGCTCAGAAGCTCGTTCCTTCACGGCGATAACCAGCCAGGACACCTGCCCCGGCTGGGGCCTGAGGCCGGGCAGGTGGAGGTGATTTTGTTAATAAATTCCCCAGAGCTCCCGGTATCACGGCGGGTGCTATGTGCTGAGGCAAAATGCTGTGCAAGGTCTTTTATGTACATGTCTGTCTGCTAAAACCCTTCCAGCAAACCCGGCGGATGGCTATTCGACCCATTTTCCAGATGAGAACCCTGAGGCTTGGGGAACTAAGGGATGGTCGCGACCCTACAGGGAGATCAGTGATTCGAACCCAGGTTGCTCCAGAGCCCCGACACCGATCTGGCGGCGCGGAGGGTGTCACTCTGCCTGCCTCCCCGGGAGGGCTGTTGGAGGAGCTTAAGGGACGAGTGCGACGTGGCAGGGACCGCAACCGAAGGCGATGTCAGCTGGGTTGAAAACGGCGAGCACAGAAGCCGCTGTAACGGGATAGGGTCAGCCCGAAGGGAGGGCTATTTTGGGCTGGAAGCTGTCAGGAGGCCTGATGTCACCACTCCCCGGCCCGTCCTGGGGGAGGGGGAAGCTGCAGATGTCATCAAGCGGGTTTGCCTCCGCTGGAAGCAAACAGAGAAGACTCACAAAGGAGGAGTGTGTGCCAGGCCACACGCTCCTCCTCATCA